CAGCTTTTGCTTGAGATGGATAAGCAACGAATTCTAGATTCTTCTAGTCAGCAGTTGTGTATGGGCAACCTTCATGACTATCTGATTCTACAATTTCTGACGATGGATATTTTTATCTCGAGGGTTTCATGATTCAGAACATGTTGTACTCAGGATAAATTTATCCACACAGCATTAATCAGTTTGCCTATTGGTGCACGCCCCATCTATTTTTCATTTGTTGGATAAGTTTTGTTTTCTCGGATAGACGAACCTAGTGTCCAATGGGTCATTCAGCACTATATATACTTGTCTTGCTCATCTAGTCAACTTTTGTTGGATTCACTATTATAATACTTTTTTCAGTCTGTGGATTCACCGTGCATTGTTTCATTGTTTCCGTGCAATTCAGCAGTTTCATGCGGCATTTTCTATTGATGATGCTTGCTCCACCAAACGCTGGTATGAGTTTGGTGCAATGAGTCAGAGTTCCACTACCTTAGCATCTCACGCTTAATTTCTTTGCATACTTATCCTGTTGAAGTATGCGCACTATTCCTAATTAGCTTAACATTTTGAGTTTGAACTGATTGGTGTATGTAGTTCAAAGTAGTATCAAAGTTAGATGCCCTAAGTTCGAATCCTGACAGATTTATTATTATTATTATTATTTTGCGTGGAGTGGCTATTTTTTACTGGCTGAATTGTTGCTTACAATTTTTTTCTATTTTTTTCTCGATCGGGCATTTTGCCCATTTTTCGATAAGAGAAATCGGAGTTTGCAAAGATTACAAAAGCGTCCGGTAATGGTGGCGAGGGGCCATCATTGCTGAGCCGCTGCATCCTATCTACTGGATACATAAATCGTTGTTACATGATGAACAGGTTTTGCGACCAAACGGGGAACACAGCATGCAGCGTTGAGATCCCAGCCCTGATCCACTCCTCTGCCTCACTGATCACAGCATGGTAGATGGCCTGCAAGTCTGCCGAAGTCCCTTGGAATGTCCTGTTGTTCCTCTCCTTCCACAGACACCATGAGATGAGAAGCAGCATGGTGTCAAACGGCCTGCGAGCATCAGCGTGAAGCCTCATTCTTTGCTGCAGCCACCAGTCTCCCAGCTTGTTGCTTACAATGGAAATGAAAAAACGGCAACTTTCTCGACCATATGACATTTTTGGTGATATAGTGTGTTGGTTACCAACAATTTAAGTGTTACCAAACCAATAAGAAGAGCACACTTGGAGACCTCGTGTTCAAGTGGAAAGGACTTGAGCTCCACATCTGTTCATCAGTGCACAGTTTCTATGTTTTGCAGTACTGGAAACTACTCTGGAGTGAGTTTATTTTCCGGTGGCAATGTGAAGCGTCCACGAAATATCTGTACCTAAATACTCCTTCCGTCCCAGAATAGATGTCGTTATGGGATGCGTGTATGTCAAACTTTCTCAACTTTAACTAGATCTATAGGAAATATGTGCAACATTTACATCTCTAAATAAATTTATTATGAAAGTATATTCAACGATCTATCTAATGATACTAATTATGTATTATAAATATAAATATTCTTTTATATATAATTAGTCAAAGTTAAAAGAGTTGATTTCTCGGGAAGCGAGAACGGCTTCTATTTTGGGACAGAGAGAGTATCTACTAGGTGCTTGCATGTACGTTGCAACGGGAGCGATAAAATATTCCACGAGATATCTTGTAGCCAATCAAAACTCATGAACATGATAATTCAATTCTGCATGTGAGATAGTCGTTTTTTAGGAAATAAGGACGATGCATGTCCCTACCGTGCTTTTATTATAAAAAGGTAAAAGTTTACAACAAAACTTCATGAAACAAAAAAGGTTACAAAGAAGATCAAAGAAATTACACATAAGCTTCTAGCCATTGACTAATAAAAGGTTCGTATGACTTTTTTGCTCTAAGGATAACTTGAGCAAAATCAATCCTGAAGTGTCGTCGAGCTTGAGCAATAGCCGGCTGCACATTTCTGAATATTGCATCATTTCTGACTAACCAAATGGCCCAGCACATTAATATGATTATCTCCATTGAGAAAGGAACAGCAAGCTGAGATCTGAAGGAAGTGGTTGTCTGAAAAGGGTTATCAGAGTGCTGAATGGATAAACCCAGAGTGCCCCAACAATCCATCGCAAAGGGACAATCCAAGAATAGATGCAAAAGAGTCTCTTCGGTGCAGAGAGCACAAACAGCACAATTATAATCTTCTAAGAACATGTTTTCCTTTGCAGCAAATTTTAGTACCCAACCTATCCTTCATAAGTAACCAAAAAAAAAGACCATTCTCTTGTTCAGACTGCAACTTTTCCAAAGCCAAGAGAAAGCTGGATGTACCTGCCTTCGACCAATAAGGTGAGCATAAGTCTTCTTAGATGAAAAAATGCTGTCTCCAAAGATCATCCTCCTCCATCAGCTGCAGGCTGTCAAGGTAATCTAAAAGTTCCTGAAATTATTGAAAAGCCTCCACAGACAAGGGTAGATGGAAAAGATCATGAAGTTCCTGAATTTGACATGCTTGTCTGAATGAAATAAGTTCGTTCTTAGCAAAGGAGTGGAGCTTTGGGAAAGCTTGTTCTAGAACTTGATCAGCCCATAAATCCTGCCAAAAAAACAGGTGCTACCATTCTTATAAAACTCTGGATAAACCTTCAAAGGAGTTTAAAAGCTTTAGTATATCTCTTCACCAGAAGGAGCCATATCTAGAAATCCCTGGCAGCCGGCCATTTGAATCTTAAAGAACTTGTGGTGAGACAAAGTCATCTTCTGTGGCAATCCAATCCAAAGAATTAGGCATGAGCAATCCAAAGGAGTAGAGCGGCATGCAAAGGATTCCCAAGTGGGCTCAACATTGGGCTCCGACGACAGGCGGTAGGCTCAAAGCAGGCTTGGCCAGTGGGCATCCATTACGGCTTGGGTGCTCTTTTATTGTTTTTTCTCTTAATTTTCAAAGGCAGGCGTGAATCCCGTCTCTGTTATCAAAGGCGGGCGTGAAACCTGCCTATATTATCTTTAATTTTTTAAAGTTGCATGTCATTTTCCACTTGTTACACGCTTGAATGAGTCTTTAAGATTTATTTAAGAATAATAACAATTCTCGATTAGGCCAAGACCATTTGTTCCAATAACACATTGGTAACGATAGATCAATTTCCTTGGTTCCTAGCCTATGCCATTGTACGCATACTATAGGCGTAAAATCCATAGCTGCACATATAATTTCATTCGTCGCTAGAGCTGTTCCACACTACCAGCAGTGACAAGCACACTGTAGAAAATAGGGCCACAGTCCTAAAGAAATTGGGCTCGCTAGCGCCCAGATGTCCGGACGGACGGGGTGTCCGAACGGTCGCGCCTGCAGTCCGTTTCTTGTGCCATTTCGCGCGTCCACGCGGGGCCCACGCCGCCCTGAACGTCACCAGTATCGAGAAGAGATGGAGGGGTGGTGAGGAGGGAGATGCAACACTTGCAACATACGTCCGAAAGGTAGATAAAACACTTGAAACATGCATCTGAAACACTTGCAAAAACACATGAAAAACACTTGAAAATCATTATAAAACATACGCAACATCTAGATAAAACACTTGCAATATATGTATAAAACATATGCAACATCCAAATAAACACACTTGCAACATACGTCTGGAAAAACATATGAAACATTGGAACATACTCTTGCAACATACGTGTACAGCCATTACAACATATGCAACATCTCGATCTACTTTTGTAACATCCGCATGAAACACTTGCAACATACCTCTGAAACATCTGAAACAATTGAAATATACCCTTGCAACATGTCAGGCGCGACACTCTAGTGGGCGCGCGACCACCATGTCTGGTGAGCCTCGAGGTAGTCGCGTTTATGCACGCACGGCACGGCGCCCTTCTTTGTCTCTAGCCGCAGGAGAGGTGATGAGGGAGGACGCCGGTGCGCGCCAACGATGAGGCAAATGGATGTGCGGAAGAGGGAGACCTTGTATTGGTACCAAGCGAAGCCATCCGAGGAAGCAGCAACACCACAGGCTTAGGGAGCTTGGAGTGGCCGCATGGCAGTAGACGCCATGGTCACGACGGTGAGGGGCGGCAGAGCAGGATTTAGGCCATGGCGATGGCGAGGGCCACAGTGAGGAGGAGCAGGAGGCGAGGGGCGAATGAGGGCTGGGGTGCGGCCATGGAGGAAGAGAGGAGAGCGGTAGTAGGCCGCGGCGAGTCGCAAGGGGTGCGGACTTCGACTGAGTAGGGCAGAGACGTTATCGGCGAGCGATGCTTTGACTGCTGGATTTGAGGAGAGTGGGAGTAGACTACATCTAGCAGAACCAGAACGTACGTGCGGCTGGCGGCTGGCAGCTGGCGAAGTGAGAGGTTTTTTTGGGAGGCGGTGTCAGGACTGACGGATGTTCAGATACAAAATACTCGTCGTGCTAATTGGGACATGGGCTCGGTTATAACATTGCTAAGCATACAATACAGCCCAGGTTTGAAAGAACAGTGAGTTTTAAGATCCGTGGGAAATATCACGTTTCAGTAGGAGGAAAAAAGGAAAGCGGAGACAAAATACGACGACGTTTCGTCAAAAATAAGACGACGTTGCATTCGATTTGATCCCCTTCATTTATTCTGACATATTCCTGTACTTATATTGTACTTACCACTAGGACTACCTGACAAAGCCGATCCACCTGCATGCTGATGTTTGCTACTCCCAGCTAATCCCTTTTAAAATGTGCCTGATTTTGGCATGCGACGACTCGCGGTGATATCTAGGCTGAAATGGTCACCCGTTTGTCGCAGAATTGCAACTCACGACGACCAAATAAGACCAAATTAACAACATCAAACTAGTACAAATCAAATTCATATGCCGATTATATACACACACACATACACTGACACACACACACACATAAACACACAAAGCTCCAGCTGACAAGTGTGTGCAGCATTTGAGATCAAGGTAAGCATAGCTGCACCACTGGCCATGGTGGAACTGGGTCTTACCTTGCGCACCTTGCCGGTCCCGCTCCTCTCCGTCTCGCTCGCAGCCTCAGTCCTCTACTTGCTTCACTGGAGCCATGGCCGCAAGAACCCAAAGAAGAGTAGTGGTAAGGCCAGCCGGCCACCTCTCCTCCTGGCCCGCCGCCGCCAGTGTTCCTGGCCAAGCTTTTCTCGCTGATGCGGCGGCCTCGCTTCGACTTCGGCCCGTTCCTCCGTGAGCTGCACGCTCGCCACGGGCCCGTCATCACCCTCCGCCTCCTCACCACCACTGTCTTCGTCGCCGACCGTCGTATCGCGCACCGCGTCCTCGTCGAGCCCAACCCGCTCTTCAACGCCGGCAACATCAACTCCGCACCCTACGGGCCCTACTGGCGCCTCGTCCGCCGCAACCTCGCCGCCGAGACGCTGCACCGTGCCCGCCTCGGCCTCTTCGCGCCGGCGAGGCGGTGGGCGTGCGACGCCCTCATCGCCAGCCTCCTCCGCGACGTCGACGCATCGGAGTGCGTCGTCACGGTCAGGCCGTTCTTGCAGCGCGCCATGTCTGAGCTGCTCGCGTACATGTGCTTCGGCGAGCGGCTTCCCCCGGACGTGCTCGACGAGATCGACAAGCTCGAGCGCCACGCGCTGCGCACAGCCACATCCTTTCCGGTCTTCGCGATCTTCCCTCCGGTCACCAAGAGAATCTTTCGCAAGCGCTGGGCGGCACACGTCGCCGTGCGCCGGAGGCAGGAAGAGGTCTACGCCCCGCTCATCCACGCCACGAGCGCCGCCGCCGACGATGACCAACCATGGTGCTATGCTAAGTCCCTCCTCGCGCTGCGGGTGGCCGACGACGGCGACCGGCAGCTCACGGACGCCGAGATGGTAAGCCTTTGCTCCGAGTTCCTCAACGCCGGGACAGACACAACGGTGACCCTGCTCGAGTGGATCATGGCCGAGCTGGTGAACCACCCGGACGTCCAGGCCAAGGTGTACGAGGAGGTGATCAGAGCCAAGCGCGAGCTCGACGACGCCGTCAACCTCCAGGCGCTCCCATACCTTAAAGCCGTCGTTCTAGAGGGCCTGCGCCTGCGCCTGCACCCGCCGGGCCACTACCTCGTCGCACATGCCGTGCGGAGCGACGCGGAGATCGGTGGCTATACGGTGCCCAAAGGAGCAGAGGTGAACTTCATGGTGGCGGAGATCGGCCGCGACGAGTCAGTGTGGACGGCGGCGTGCGAGTTCCGGCCGGAGCGGTTTCTGGACGGCGGCGAGGGGAACGGCGTGGACATCACCGGGAGCCGGGAGATCAAGATGATGCCTTTCGGCGCCGGCCGGAGGATGTGCCCCGGGTACGCGCTGGGCATGCACCATGTCGAGTTCTTCGTGGGGAGCCTCGTCAGGGAGCTGGAATGGCTGCCAGCGGCGGAGGGAGAGACCGTCAACATGGAGGAGACCGTGGATTTCACCACCGTCATGAAGTACCCGCTCCGTGCGCGCATCGTACCAAGAAACAAATCCTAGCTCACCTGAGCATGTTTAGTTGCACTTCATTTTGCAAAAATTTTCAAGATTCTCCGTCACATCGAATCTTTGAACGTATGCATGAAACATTAAATATAAATAAAAAATAAAACTAATTACACAGTTTAGACGAAATTCACGAGACGAATCTTTTAAGCCTAATTAGACTATGATTGGACACTAATTATCAAATAACAACGAAAGTACTACAGTACCATTTCGCCAAAAATTTCGCCAACTAAACACTACCCTAGAACAAAAATCTGCAGGAGACAATATGCGGCTGTGTGCTTCCATCTTTGTAGATGACATGCATGACAGATATTATAATATATATATATATATATATATATATATATATATATATATATATATATATAGATAACTACTACTCTGTAACTACAAAATAATTTATTCTATAGTCACTTTGAGTTATGATAATTACTATGTTAATTTACGAGATTGTAGTAACTCCTTAGTAAGTGGTTTACTATAACGTTATGGTAAATATCTCCATGTGTTTTAGTAACCCAACTATCGTAAATATGTATTGACATTATCGTAAATTAGTATATAAAATTATCGTAAATGACGGTGGCTACATAATATACTCTCCATATATATATACTGTTCCGTAGCTGGCCGTAGAATAAGTTATTTTGTTGCCACTTTGAGTTACGATAATTACTATACTAATTTACGAGATTATGGTAACTCCCTCATAAGTGATTTACTATAGTATTATGGTAAGTATCATTTTGAATTATAGTAACCCATGTATCGTAAATGTGTGTTGTTATTATCATAAATTGGTACAAACATTATCGTAAATCAAGATGGCAATAGAATAAGTTATTTTGTGGCCAGCTGCAGAATAGCCTTACCGTATATATATATATATATATATATATATATATATATATATATATATATATATATATATATATATATATATATATATATATATATATATATATATCGCCATGACCTAGCCAACTCTTGATTGTGCGCACAAAAGCATCTTCATGCATTTGATGGCGTGATCATGATTTACACGTTATAATATCAAAATAAGTGTATTATCAGAATATATTTGAGTATCTCTGATAGATCTTGTCTCATGTTGTATATGTTTGTGCGTTTTTATATAAACTAGCAAACATGCCCGTGCATTGCAACCGGAGAAAAAAAATTATCAAACGTTAATAAGAAACGAGAATAGAAGTGTTGCATATTTATTTATGTTTTACCTTTTTATAAACTTTATAGAGCTATAATTTATTTTTTGATGATAATAACATCCTAAATATATAAGTTAATTTAAATCTCTAATTATATTCAGCAAGGAGTTAGTTGCGTCGTGTCAAAGATTCGTCTAGTTTATAAGGCATCTTTTGATATGGCACAATCTTATAAATTATACTTTGACCATTTATTTATTTTATTTCATATTGTTTATGAGTATATTAACTTATAATTATTGGATATAGTACATTTAATTATAAATCTAACAGTATTAAGCTGCATTACAATAGTTATTAAAAGTTGTTATTCAAATACGCAGCAACACAGCTCTTGATATCCATCTCAAATCAGCCGACCAAGGCCCATCATCAGCTTCAGTATATATTTCGATTTGTGAAACCCTAAGTCCAACGTATCCTCTCCGTTCCCAAATCCTCGAGTCCTGCAGCCGCCACACAAGCCAGGCGTGACTCACGCTGTCGCGAATCACGAGCGTTGTGCCCGCCGCGGCAACACCTCCGGCCAACACCCAGGTCTCGCAAGCTCGCATCGCCCAGCCCCGCCCCTTGGGACGCCGCGTCGCTGCCAAAACTCTCTATGCTCTCTCTCTCTCTTTGCTCGGTCTGCAGGCCGACAACGTCTGTCTCTGCTCCCTCTCTATCTCTCGGTCTTCAGAGTTTGCGATTAGATGCTTGACGGTCGAGATGGAAGCCCGTGTCCGTCTGACGGCGTTCTACCTTGACGGATCGACGGCGGCCTGGTGACTCCATGCCTCGACGTTGCTGCTCCGCTCCGGAGGCGCGATCCCCGCGCCTCGACGGATCGACGGCGCTGCTCCGTGCCTCCGTCCCGTCGACGGTTCTGCGACTCCGCGCCTCGACGGCCGGCGGCGACCCTGTGCCTCGACGACGCTGCTCCACTCCGGAGTCACGATCCCCTCGCCCCGTGCCTCCGTCCCGACGGCCGGCGACGGCCCAGCGATCCCGTGCCTCGACGAGCGACACTGCTTCGTGCCTCCATCCGACAGCGGTTCCACGACCCCGCGCCTGTACGTCCCTGCTCTGCTCCTCCTCTTGCTCCGCTCCTGAGTCCCGATGCCCTCGCCGCGTGCCTTTTTTTGTTTGATTTTTTTGTGCATCACGTAATTTATGGTGGTTGTTGTTCTCGATTTCTATCCATTCTATTTCTATTTGGATTCGACTTCAATCAAATTAATGATGATTTGGAGCCATGTGGATTCTTAGTTTCCTTCCCATCCTTTCCGCTCGGGTTCCTCTTTCTTTCTTTTGAAATTCAAGTCTAGTTTCCTTCTCATCCTTTCCGCTCGGGTTCCTCTTTCTTTCTTTTGAAATTCTAAGTCGTGCTGGACTGAAACTCCGTTGAGGGGGCGACCAGGCGGGCACAGGCTGAAACTCCGTTGAGGGGGCGACCAGGCGGGCACAGACGTATAGGGAAAGGATCTAGGCGGGTGGGGGCAGGCGTACATAGAAAGGAGTAGGAAGAAACGGACACGAACGCTATATTGGAGAAAGAGATGTGTTAGGACATGCGACGGAAGTACATGTGTATAAAGCGCTAGTTAGTTACGGTGGACCGGACCAAAATAATGGTAAAAAAAGAGGAAATTTTACCTCTTTATTATTAGGGATAGACTTAATTCAAAGTAGAAAACTTTAACTTAGAATAAAACTAAAATGATTGACAAAGGTGTTGGAGCTTGTGTACCTCCTCGGCCCACCGACACCAACACGTCCAGCGCCAGTGAGGAGAGAGGGGTGCAAAGGGGTCATCCATCGCATGACCACACCTACCTCTGCTCGTCGCCGTTTCTCTTGGCACCAGTGGTTGTCTCTTGTGCAGCCGCGTCGAGGCTGAAGCCGAGGTCACCACGCCCGAATCGAGGCAGAGGCAGGGGCAGGGGGCCAGGGTCGCCCGCGTTGTGGTCTCCCATCGGCTACTAGCACCGTCGTGCCCAGTGGCGGAACCACATGTACGCCATATTGGGCCATTTCCCTCTCCCCCCTCACGGAATTGAAATTTCTTAATAACAAAGATGATACTTAGCAAGTAATGGATATTTGCACACATAAGACTACCCACAACATCGGTTTTCTGCGATGCGGAAATATGAGAGATAGTGTTGGAGCATCAGTGATGACCATTGTGGCTATCGATGCCGAGTTTAGATTTTGTCTACCCGAGGCATGTTCTTTCCCCGGTGCTGAAAGAGTAAAAAATGGTTTTCCAACCAACACTTGGTCCTAGACGATGGTTCTGACGGTTGGGTCCACAGGAACAAAGCACCGGTGTCCAGTTTCTGGCATCGGTCTAGATGGCACGCTGAAATTCCTTTTCAGCACCGCTGATGCTGTGGGTAGTCTAAGAGGAAAGTTGGACACTGTGCCTCCTCTTGAATTTCCTTCACGCTCCGCCACTGGTCGTACCCACCTCGCTCGCCCTCGTGCGCCTCCCGTCGGGGATTGGTCATGCTCTACACTGTATGCCTCCCGCGGAGAAGGTGACGCTAAGTCGTGGCAGAAAGGTGGAGAGCGGGGCAAGGCAGTGGCATGCAAGGCTATTGTGGGGCGGCTGCGATGGGGATGGGGCGGGGGTAGGGCGCGACAAGGGAGGGGTGGGGCAGCGGCGTCAACAGTAGGGGAGCCAGGGAGAAGCGGAGAGGCATTGTTTTTTTTATTTTTTATTTAGTTTTTTCCTGATGATGATAGACGAATCACGTGCGGACGATGTACCTCGTGTTTATATATGCTAGTACTAGTAGAGATTAGTTGGTTATCTAAATTATTGTCTAAAAATTTAAGCATCTCAAATATAGCAAGTCCCTTTATTCTAACCATTTATTTCTATGTTCCATTGTAGTAAAAAAATAAGTATGTTGATCTGATGGACGCTTAATAATGATCAAATTTGTTACCATTACCATTGGAAAGGACTAAGAATGAGTATAAAAATTTTCGTTTGTCAAAGTCAATCCTAGCTATGGACGAGGAAGATGCTTATCCCAAAGCATCATACTGTAGCTAGCTGAGCATAGCTTGGCTGGTAAATTCTTTAGGGTGGAACTTGTCTATCCGATTTTAAGTCCTTGAATTGATGTGGGTGCTCGTATTTTTCTAGATTTTTTAGTATTTTGAGATTGCCCATGGATTTTTATAGGATGTAATGATGTTGTTCTTTGAGATTCCTCATAAAGGTAGGGTATGTGTGCTTACGTTCATAGTGTGCGTGTATTTATGAGTGTTTGTATTTGTACTATCATTAAAAAATATATACTGTATATCATAATTCAAGGCTGAGCTTTCCTATTCCTTTTTAAATTTTGGCTGATTTGGTCAAAAACGCAATTTTGCGATGTGTCTATATAGAATTCTAAATGATGAGAGTCACAGTCACCCATCGGTCCATCATATTGTAGTTCACAACAACCAAATGAGGCCAATTTTTGAGAATTGCTATACAACAACCGTTTGATTTTGCTCTCTCCAATAACCAATTGTTCCGCCGCCGCCGCCCCTAGGCCGGCCGCTGCTCCCTCCGCCGCTGCCACCCCCCAGGCCGGCCGCTGCTCCCTCTGCCACTGCCGGCCCCAGGCCGTCCGCTTCTCCCTCCACCGGCGTCCCCGGTGCGGGCGCATCACCCTCCCATCCGCAATTTGTGAATAATTTGTAATTTTTCTGAAATTTATGAAAATTTTGACATATATTCCTCTGGTATCTACAATTCATAAGAATAATTTATAATTTCTTCTAAAAAGTTTGGCATATATTTATTTGAGATCTACGATCCATAGAAATAGAAGTTATGTTATTCCCAAATTATATCAATGTGTCCAATAAATTATAGTAAAGATATCATTATAAATATAGCTAGAAGACATTATAAATGTATGGACAAAAATCAGGTGTCAGGAGTTTCCAAAATATTCTGTTGCCAGGCAGATAGATTCTAATTTTTTGACATGATAAAAAACTGTACGTTTTGGAAGAAACGATCATGCCATCTGAGCTGAAAGATAAGCTGATCGAGCTGCCGCCGGATTGCGCTCCTCAGAGTAAAGGCTTAGCAAAGGTTGCATTGTCGCAAGTTGCAACAGCAGACAGCCAGCCATGGAGCTCGTAAGCTTTGCCTCCAACACCTAGACGACCCCACTCCTCTGCTGCTGCATGGCCTTCTTCGTCTCGCTCCTTTTCTTGCTTCACCGCCGCTATGGTCGCGGCAAGTCAACGTCGAATAATAAGAGCAAGGGCCGCCTTCCTCCTGGACCACCGGCGCTGGTGTTCCTGGCCAAATTCTTGGTCCTGCGGCGATCGATCTTCGACCTGGCACCGCTGCTCCGGGACCTGCTCGCGCGCCATGGCCCCGTCATCTCTGTCCACCTCTTCACCACGCTGGTCTTCGTCGCCGACCGCCGCCTCGCGCACCGCGTCCTCGTCCGGGACGGCGCCACCTTCGCCGACCGCCCGCCGCTCGTCGAGCCGGACCCGCTCTTCTGCGCCGGCGACATCAACACCGCGCCCTACGGTCCCTACTGGCGCCTCGTCCGCCGTAACCTCGCCGCTGACGCGCTGCACCGCGCCCGCGTCAGCCTCTTCGCGCCGGCGAGGCGGTGGGCTTGCTAGGCGCTCGTCACAAACCTCCTCCGCGCGGCGCACGTCTCCTCCGAGACGGAGCCCGTCACGGTCAGGCCGTTCCTGCGGCGCGCCATGTTCGAGCTGCTCGTGTACATGTGCTTCGGCGCTCGGCTCAGCCAGGGCGCGCTCGACGAGATCGAGGCGCTCGAGCGGCACGTGCTAGCTTCCTTCACCGCCTTTCCGGTGTTCGCCTTCTTCCCACCGCTCACCAAGAGGCTCTTCCGCAAGCGGTGGGAGGCACATGTGGCCGTGCGCCGGAGGCTGGACGAGCTGTTCCCCCCGCTGATCAACGCCGCGCACCGGCGTGGCGAGGACGACAACCCGCCGTGCTACGCCGAGTCCCTTCTCGCGCAGTCGCGCTACGGGTGCCGACGAGGGCGACCGGCCGCTCACGGACGCCGAGATCGTGAGCCTCTGCTCCGAGTTCCTCAACGCCGGGACGGACACGACGGTGACCCTGGTGGAGTGGATCATGGCCGAGCTCGCGAACAACCCCGGCGTCCAAGCCAAGGTGTACAAGGTGTACAAGGAGGTGACCAGAGTGAAGCCCGACGTCCTCGACGACGCCGGCAACCTACAGTCGCTGCCGTACCTGAAAGCCGTCGTGCTCGAGGGCCTTCGGCTGCACCCACCGGCGCACTTCCTCATCCCTCACGGCTTGACGATCTGGCTTGACGAGCGACGCGGAGATCGGCGGCTACACGGTGCCTAAAGGCGCGGAGGTGTGCCTAAAGGCGCGGAGGTGAACTTCTTGGTGGCGGAGATCGGCCGCGACGAGGCGGTGTGGACGGCCGCGCGCGAGTTCTGGCCGGATAGGTTCCTGGACGGCGGCAAGGGGTACGACGTGGACATCACGGGGAGCCGGGAGATCAAGATGATGCCTTTCGGTGCCGGTCGGAGGATGTGCCCGGGGTACGCGCTGGGTATGTACCACGCCGAGTACTTCGTGGGAAGCCTGGTGAGAGAGCTGGAGTGGCTGCCGGCGGCGGAGGGAGAGGCCGTCAACATGGAAGAAAACGTGGATTTCACCAGTCATGAAGTACCCGCTCCGTGCGCGCCTAGAACAAAAACCTGCAGGAGGCAATCTGCTGCTACATGCCTACATTGCTATACATGTATCGTACTCGTATCGATGGCTATCTGCTAGTCATGTTGACTTTGTTGCTGTGTGCTTCCATCTTGTAGATGAGATGCATTCGGCCAAACACACGTGTTGATGAAATACAAACAACTAAAAAGTTCACTCTTGATTGTGAGCACAAAAGCATATTCATGCACTTGATGGCATGATCATGATTTACAGGTTACAATGTCCATCAAGATATATAGCACATTTCCAATTCTGATTTGCTACACAACACACATGTAATCGATGGAATTGCCACACCAATCACAACCCAACTCCAATTTCCATAAAAACGGGGAACTATCTCACCTATCGACACAGCACTATGCATCAGAAATTTACAAGGAATGCATATGCATCCGTCCTTCCAGCCATCATTTCTCTGGATCATGGCTGCAAGCAACAGCATCCCACGAGTGGAGGCCTCAGCATTGCGTGATGCTGCGGACCTCAGGCACCGGCAGGAACATCTGGGCTAGCCACTGCAGCGGCTTCACCAGCTCCGCGTGCTTCTTTCTCCAGTACCAGATCGCGGCATTGTAGAACTCGTTGCGGATCGTCTTCGATGCTGCCCGCCAGTCACATTTCTCCATCTCGGATCTGGCAGTCCGCCCCATGTTGTCTCTGAACTCCCTGTTCGTCAGCAGCAGCTGGACCTTGCCGAGGCAGTCATCCAGGTCGCCAGGGGTGAACAGGAAGCTCGTCTTGCCCTCCTGGTCCTCTGGGATTATGTCAGGGATCCCGCCTGCACGGGCCGCGACAACGGGCACTCCCGATGACATGGACTCTAGGACCACTTGGCCGAGCGTTTCTGACTCTGATGGCATGATGAAAACATCTCCGCTGGCGTATGCCTGCGAGAGCTCTTCACCCTGCATCATTCCTGTGAACACTGTTGGCATTCCTTCAAACATCTTCTCTAGTTCACCCCTGTCATTTAGTTAAAAAGAAAAATGTAAAAAAAATTGCACTAAAAGCTCAACAATGTGAATGCACAGAACAATGACAACTTCAATGAAAACTGTCTCAGTCAATACTTCTTAATTGAAAATTGTCTAAATCAATACTTCTTATTCCTTATCAGCTTGAATTATGAGGTTCAGATTTCTTATCAGCACCCATGCTGACTAATGAACTGAACAATAGCGTAAGAGTTAAGGAATAAAAGCAAGGTGCTGCATTGGTCATACTTGTATGGTCCATCTCCGATAAATGCAATTCTTACTCCAGGCAACCTATCCATTACCCTGATAAAAAAAAGCAAAATTAGTTCCAAGTAACCAATGATGTAAGGCATGAATGAAGAATAAGTATGGCATTTGGATCATTTAATTTAGTTGCATTACTCTCTGTTTTTAATAAAGATGCATCATGTTTGTCAACTAAGAATCAAAGATCAAATCAATCACAGAAGGAGCAAGTACGACAATAGCTTACATCTTCAAAAAATCCAAATTTTTCTCACGCCCAAAACGTCCGACATGAATTACCAGTGGTTTTTCAGGCTCACCATCACTGAAAGAATACATCAAGCAACATAAGCTTAGACAATCTATCTCAACTTGCTGCATACAAAACATTCAGGAAGAAAGCTGACAGAATATTACCTCAGCCTGACTCGCATCTCATGATTGCGAAATCTAGGATGGAAGCTTGCAGAATCAACACCTTTGTTCCAAACGCGTATTCTGTTAGCTGAATAAGGAGGGAAATCACATCTTTAGCATCATAACATGAATAAAAACATATGCACATCTGGTACATTGTGTAAAAAAAATTGACCAACCTGATATGACCTGGGCAGTTTCAAAATCTTTGCTGATAGCAGCAGATGGTACTAAAGTTAAATCAGCAGCTCTATGAAGGAATCCTGTGTTTTGAGAATAACAGGACCAAGAATCAGCATGTTTCACAGACAGGCATGCAAGTTACTGTATACAAAAGCAGAGATAAGGTGAGTAAAATGCTCACTTATGACTTGCCACATTGGCTCCACAAGCCAGCTAAATGTATATCTTGGTATGTATCTGCAAGCAAAAGAAATATGATTCAGTGGCAATGAAAAATCTGAAATTCTGTCTGTTTGCAGTAAAACTTTGTGCAATAAAGTTCATAGTCAACTTACACTGGAACATGGGTGTGATAGGACATGACTAGGGGCACACCGAGTAGCTTGGCAATAGCTAGAGCCCCAAAAACCTGAAAGAGCAATGGACTTAAGTCATATTCAGTACTAGATAATCAGAGAGATTCGATGATTAATGATTTGACTGTTAAAATAAAGTTACCATAATTCCAGGAGAAGACGCATGAATAATGTCAGGTTTGAACTTTGCAACCTCCGAAATGATCCTAGGACTAAGTGCCAGCGAAAGAGGGACTTTTCCATACATGGGGCACGGGAAGCTGTAAAGGATGAGAAAACAGCCATAAGCATAAGATTCCACCACTAAAGGTACCACATATCATGTACTCGACAGGGAAGAATACAATGCTTCCAGTCTAACCAGCATGGCCGCATGATTGCGTATCATTGTTCAATAACTTAACTTCAGGAAAAAAATTTAAAAATTAAAATATTTATCATCTAGCAAATAGGTGAGCTATTGTACTAGTGCTCACTTATTAATTCAGTTATACTAATTAACAGAATATGTCCAAAACCAGACAGCCCGAATCCAGTAGCATAAGGAGCGGTTCCAAGGCATATCCTTTTTTTAGGAAAGGTATTCTTATGATCTGGATTAAGTCTCTACTTCGTACGGAGTAGAAGCTAGCTGCCAATGTTTCTTAGTGGCAGCTTTTATACAGAGTAGGCATTCTCATTTCATTCTTTGAACAACAACGAGAAAACTCAGGCCTTCAAAAAATATTGCCTAAACTGCTATTGATATCCTACAGACAGAAGTTGACACAAGCATCCTGAAAAACTTACCTCCATGAACCGATAACCTTGGCACCATGAAACTCTTGGGGGACTCCCTCATGGTTGGTCACAACAATGACCTGAAGAATACACCTAAGCCAAATTAACAGACACCTACTAATCTGCTGCCCCTCTAATATCGACCCTACCAAATGACAGCAAAACGTGTACCTCGTCCCCCATTTCTCGCAAATGTTTGATGAAGTTCTGGAACCGGTTCTTATACCCAGAGATGTAGCTGCAGACACCAAGATGCAGAGTTAGTTCCATTAGTGAGAACATTTTCATGAAAATTCAGTCTAGGAGTATCTAACAAAAGCATATACTTCTTTTGTTGCAGGCCTTAAAACTGATAATTGTGATTCATTCGCATGAATCCTACTAAGCCCAGCTAATTTCGTTCTTAATCGTGGTATTAAATTAACTGGAATCTTAATCCACTTCTATCCGGTCTTCACGAATCCCAGTTTCCAAGAAAGATCCAAACTTTTTTTGGCAAACAAAAGAAAGCTAGGAAGGACATCGCGTCAGGGCTCAGTCAGAATGAATCCTGGGGATAACCTCATGGATCCAGCCAAGAGTGCGCACAAGGCCAATAACCAACCCTGACAAAGCCCGCACCAAGAAAAGAAAAAAAAAAACAACAGAGCAGGGTCCGGCGAGGAGGCTTACGCGAACGGAGACGGCTCGACGAAGAGCGCGACGCGGCGCGGGCGCGCGGCCTCGTCCAGTAGCAGCGGCGGCGCCTCCTCCCCGTCAGTCGCCATTGCCCCCGCGGCCACCCGAGGAGGAGACCAAGAGCAGAGCGGCAATCCTTAGGTTTGCGGTTGCGCAAGCGTGCACGGCGCGTGTGTTCTACTATCTGCGTATGATGTGTCGGAGCAAGGAAGAGGGCGAGCTCGCCGTTGCGTATATAAGCGGGAGAATGACTGAAGACGACGAAGAAGGCGGGCATGGGTTGGAATTGCGGGGATATTCCATCGGCGGAGGGGAATATTGGAGGGAACCGGCTGGGCTGGGAACTTCGCGAGGCATATGCTCTCTGCTGCAAGATCTCATCTCCTCGCCTGGTTTCCGGCGGTCAAATTGCAATTTTGTTTTGCAAATAATTGGGGAGGAGTAGGGATCAGGGAATCTTGAACTCTTCAATTCACAATCTTCGGGTGACGTGTAAGTGTGCAGCTGAGTTTGTGCCTGGTTTTTATGCATGCCACCTTGCTAAATATAGGGATTGGAGTACCTTTTTCTCCGCAAATTCTTGAAAATTTAGGCCTCTCCCCTTTCTATTTGGATCACTAGACTAAACTCTAGCTTTAGATAATTATTAAAGTTGTCCTAGTTTACTTAAACGGGTGGACTAAGATTATTTTTGAGTTGAGGACTAGGAGAGATAAGACAAGTTCATTACGGTTTTCCGTACATTAGACGATACATCCCATTGGTTGAGTGAACTGGAGCATTCCTTATTTTTGTTTGGTTTGTGGAATAGACAGGGTGAGAATGAACTAGCGGTTACCTATCGTTTGCCACTGATATTTGCAGGGGCAGAGCTTAGTGTAAGCCAACATGGGCCATGGTCCCCCTAAACTATATGATTCTCCACTAATCTTGTTTCTCATTAGCTTATTACACTTGAAAAAAGCCATGAATTTCCTTGGTAATCTAGTGCTATTTGCTGCATGGCCCCCCTTCCATCTTAGCTCAAGCTCCTATCACTGGGCATTAGTGGAGCCTCGGTGTCAGCCACTCAACATCCAAACATGTAAGTAGTCGCCGTGGATGGGACATTTGCAATGGCAACCCCCTTCGGCCTCCATGATGCCTCCACTTGCCTGGTAATCCTTACCTCGCCGCCCTCGCTCGGCCAGCCATGTTGTCCCCGGCCGTCCCATCTCATCTGTCTGCCCCGCCTACCCCTACCCACAAGAGCTTCGCGCCGTCCTCGGGCGCCTCCATGGCATCTACCTACCTGGGCCACCTCCACCCTAGAGGAGCTACGTGTCACGGTCCCTGTGGGAGCTTGCACTAGAGGGCATTAGGAGCCTGCACTGGAGCTTCGTGTTGTCCTAGACCACCACCACCCCTACGGGCTCTGATTTAAGCAGGCTGCGAGAAGAAGAGGAGCGCACAATGACACTTGACGTCATGGAGGTGGGATGACTGCGTGCCTCTGATTTTAGGGGACATGGTTCCACCACATCTGGTAAGAATATACCCATTTGGGGATGATTCCGTCCCTCTCGCCCCTTAACTAAACACCAACGAAAATAGGATCACCCTAACCCATCCTCCTACCTGCCCTGCACCAAACCCTACTTAAAAGGGGACCACCTTTTAGTCTAGCTCAACTAGTTCTTAGTCTCTCTTGGTATTCCACGTTTCAAAACAGCACGCGGCTAAACTTTAGTGGTTCAAAAAACATTGACCACCTAAACTTTAATTGGACTATGAGCCGGTTTGATGGACTAGAACTAATTATTAGTCCCGGCTAAAAATTAGCCAGCTAAGCTTTAGACAGGTAACAATTAGCCCAGAGGTGTGTTTGAATAATCCTAGCTAAAAGTTAGATGCAATGATTGGATATAGATTCGAAAGCCCTTATCTTTTCTCTCTCATTGCTATGCCTTCCTCTCCTCGCTACGGCTCTATTGTCGTCTCTTTGGTCCTCAGCCATCTCCTCTTCCTATGGTGCCCCACATCTACTCTCTCTTTCTCCCTCTCTCTTTCTCTCTCTCTCTCTCTCTCTCTCTACGAGCGCATGCACGTGCGCTCGCTCGTCGTCGCAATCACGCCACCCTTGGTAGCACCACGGTGCATGTAGAGACTCGCTACAGGCATGTGCGATAGGCTTGGCAAACACCACCCTGCAGGCCGAGGTAGCCTTACCTTCCTGAGGCGGGGTCAGAGGAAGAGGTTGGCCATGGCAGAGGCAGACCACGCGAGAACGGGGCACATGCAGGCCGTGGCGGAGGCGGGGCGGAGGGGGTGCAGATGGCCGTTGTGGAGGCTAGGCTAGACTAGGTGTCGTGGAGGTGTGGGGCCAGGATATCAGCCGGCCTGACAGGCAGAACCGCAAGAATGGTGGCGGTCGAGAGATAAAGCATCGGTGGCGTAGTGACACCGGGGCAGGAGTCACAAGTGAGACGATGTTCGCACATGGAAGAGAAGGGGGAAGAGGTACATAGGAGGGTATTTATTTTATTGCGAGTTTTGTGCTAACTTTTAGCCACAATTAGCTAAGTTTGGCCAACTAGTGAGTAGTGGCGAAGCAAGAGCAAACTAGAGGGGTGCCTTTCTCTTATAGGTGTAAAAATTTGATCTGCAACCATGGTGAAAAAATGTTTTTAATAGTGGTTTTTCAAATTTCTATGGGTGCCTGGGCACCCACAACCTTCAACCTAGCTTCGCCCCTGCTAGTGAGCTAACAACTAGTTGGAGACTTGACTAAAAATTAGGTAACACATTAGCTTACCTGTTTAGATCCTTAGGGAGGTCAACTAGTTAGTAATCTCATGGATCAAACAAACCCTAACAATGAATATGGATGATAATAAGCTATTAAGGGAACAAAGAACATAAAGATAAGGTCAGCAGTCGGCATCATTCCTGTGCATCATCATTCTCTGTCCTACAAATATGAGACTTTTAGTGAAGTGCCAGCTATTACTGATAAAGAAAAACATGTGTAACGAAAAAAGAATGTAATATCTATGCTCGAGGCTAGAATATGAATATGGAATAACTAAGAGAAGCTAGATTAGGAAATAATAAGGAAAACATGTTTATGATCCTGTATATATACACGCACATGTGCTATACACAGTCTGAGGTCGAATAATGTGTTCTCCACGTTAGCCACATAAGTACAGCCCAGCTAACTGATTGCTCTAAGTGCTCAGGTCCAATTAAGTCGAACGTACAACACAACACCCAATCGTTTCCTCGTATCCGAATCAAAAGAGGTGGGCAAAATAAACTGATGAACGAAAACGAACCGAATCACCCACGACCGAAACCAAAAAGTTTCGGTTCTAAATTTTGGTCTCAAAAAATTCTCAAGTTCTCATAAACTCAACTTTAGTCCTTTTATTTCGGTTTTAGCCTCGGGTAATTTTAACTTTTTTTTTGAGGAAAGGGTAACTTTAACTGAAATGACTGAGAAAACCGAAATGCTTCCCAGGGGGGCCAACAATAACCCTGCTCACATGTTCCTCAGCTTTTTGGCCGATTTTTTTTTTGTAATTTAGCCTTTTTTTTCAAAATTTTACATTTATACCTCTTGGTGTAAAAAAAAACTATCTTTAGACCTGGAGCTCGGCGCCGAGGTAACACGTCTCGGTGTCACAGGTAGGAGTTCCGGAATAACGTGGCTAGAGGTCGGCGCCATGATTCACGTCGCTAACCTCGGCGCCATGATCTACGGCACCGACCTCGGGGCTGTGAATAATAGCACCGACCTCGGCGCCATGAATAATGGCGCCGACTTCTGAATTCAACTTTAATCATAAATTATCATGACTTGGACACTCTAAGTTTTTACCATGGCATGGTAATGTCAAATTTGGTTGCATTTTTTACTATGAGATGGCTATACAGTCTGTTTTTTTTACCCTAACAAGGCCATATATATTTTTACTATGAGATGGATATATAATTGGGCTAAGTTTGAGTTTGCATTTCAAATTTTTTGTGTGAGTACATATTTGTATGCACTATGAATGTACCAAAATTCAAAAAAAATTGAACAACCAAAATATAATTTTTGAATTGGTTCTCATGTTTCCACCTAGTAGGTGGTTTTCACCATATATTTTGCCAGATATACACACCAAGGTAGATAGCAGGAACATGAACAAAACAAATATACGCTACTTGATATAAATTATTATGTAGGCACATCTAAAAAGGGGAGGAGAGGAAAGGTTGAAAAAAAACGCTGCAGCGGCAAGCCACACAGCTCACTTTACCTTGCTATAACGGCTCACTGCAGCCCAACGAATAGCGGCAGCAGCAAGCGCCTGGCGCACTCGTCAATTTTAATCCCACCTCGCTTAGATAGATGAAAGTGAGGGAGCCGATGGTCTATATAACATAATATGATCCAGGCACGCTCGCAGACTCTTAGCCACTGCATAGCGCTCCTTGCTTCGCCTCGATAGCCTAACACCATTTAGGCTAAGCATATAAGTAGAATATACAATGAAAGAAACAATTGATAGATGAATGTAATGGCGCAATGAAAGCCAAGCACAAGAATGTCAGCACATGAATCGAGAGATCTGGATATATATATATATATATATAGCATCCATTAGAGGAGCACACGAATCCTAATCTAGGTATAGAGGAATGCTAAACAATATCCATGTGTTTTAGCACCTATAAACACATGATTTTTTTTCGGTGTCTTTGACGTGCAGAACCCACACGTCAGGTCCCAACTTAAAACACTCAGCCCCGACACCTCCCCACACCTGACTCCTCTCCGTGCCCCGTCCTCCCTCCACGTGCTCTCTCTCTCTCTCACCGGTGACGGTGACGGTGACGGCGACCGGCGCGCTTCACCCGGCGCCCGCGCCCGCGCAGGCCATGGTGGATCCGCGTGAGGTAGGTCTTCTCCTCCTCCTCGTCCTCCTCTTCGTGGATCTGTGCCGACCGGAGACAAAGACGACGGCGGCGGTGGCTAGGGTTCCGGCGAGCCTCTCCCCCAAATTTTGTCCTTGTCCTTTCATAGAAAAAATTATTTCTTGTGATCTGTGATTTGTGC